TGCAAAGCTACTGCAGTTTGAAAATAGAAAACAGGGAAATTTCACAAACATGATTTTACATCGTCGGCTTACCAAAAATGTTTTATTTATTTCTCCGTAAATACTTCAGACATTGCTATCAAAATTTCCAGTTCTGGAACCACTATACATAAAAATAGGAAAAGAAATGTTTTTTCCTCAAAATTTGCAATTTTCCGGCGGTGCGCCCCCTTAAGCCAAACTAAATTGTAGTAACATTATGTCTCCCACCAAGTGCCCTCCCAACTACACTCTACCAGGATGCCGGAGGAAACAGCCTACATTGAAAAGGTGCTTGGGTTGTCTCAGTCCATCCGTCGCAATACCTGTTAAAAATTAAGTAGAAAAACGCTGACTGGGAAAGAAAAAATGTTGCGCTGTCTTAAATTTCAGCTGCGATTATCGTTTTTCAAAGTTCCCTGAAATTACGTTGCAGGTTGTTTGTATTTCATTAAGTGCATCTACAAAGTAGGACATCGTAAAATATTAACTAAAATCTTTTTATCGGATTAAGGCCGGCTCCGATGTATTTCCTTCTTTTTCTTTTTCATTGAGCACAGCTGTTTAAAAACAACGGTAACATGTTAATGCGACAGTTTTGTAACCTTTATTGGTATGGAAATGCTCAAAAATATTATTTCATTATTACCGGGCCCACGTATTTCTTTCAAGCTAGAAAAGTTGATGACAAGACACCATTGTTTCATTTATAAATTCCTAGTTCTAATAAAGTATGACAGTCATATATTTAACCTGAGAAGTAGCCTGAAACTTCATCGCAAGAATATTCGCAGATGACAATGTCAGACAAAAGATTAATAGTCGGCGGGGAAGTTAAATGTGCGCCGGTTAACGGCACCAGTGTGTCGCAACCGTAGCATCAAGCTTTGCTCCAACCGGTAGCAGTCCAGTTGAGGGGGTCCCGAGGCGCAGTAAAACTTACGAGAGAAAATTCCGCGTCATTCTCCCTTAACCCGTGACCACGGCTCTCATCATCTCTGCTAAAGAATCATGCAGAGCGGCCTCGGAGTCTGGCTCGGCCCGAAGCCCATTCACGCCTCACCGCTTCCCACAATTCGTCGGCAGTGGCGCGGTAGAGGGGACGCAGTGACATGGCTACCTTGATGCGCCTCCAAACGTGTTCGATGATATTCAGATCGGCACCTTTTGGCGGCCAAGTCAGCTCCGTCAGGCAGCGCTCCTCTCGGAGATACGACAAGGTTGGATACGAGCGTGACAATGCATTTTACAATTCGGCGCTTTCTTGAAAGACACTGAAATGCATGTTAGCTGGAAACACTGGGCTGTACGGCACACGCATCGTGATATTGGTTCTATTGGCGAATATTTTATTTAGCAGACGGCCGGAAGAGCGCAGCGGCGCAGTGAGCGGAGTGAGAATTTATCTCAACCTCAGGGTGCGGCGCGTGTTTGGGGAGCGATGCGACAGGCGACGCAGGTAGTACCGTGCACAGGCCGGAGCGCTGTTTCAGCTCATATTGTCCGCGATAGTACCTCGCATGACAAGGCACTAGTCATTTGCAGTGCACCCGGCGCTATCTGATAAATACCGCCGACATCCATCAAACTATGTTCTTGTTGCTCTGCACACGATCAATGATACACTATCGAGTTATCTGAAGCAGGACTAAGATTTGGAAAGGTTGAGCAGATGACAGAGATTGGCATGTTGTTTGTGTAATTTTCTGAAGAGTTACTCACACCGGCAGATTCTGTCTTATCATTCCTGGAAAACCTTAAAGTTGCTCTACAAGACACATCAGACAAGCTTCAAGGTTTTGCCTAGTGTCAAGCAATCGCTGCAGGTGCTGTCACCGTCTGGCTCCCAATACGCGATCCAGCCTACGAGTGACCACAACACACGTTACTACTTCAAGGCATTATATTGAAATGTTTTTCGAAAACGGGGAAAGACAAACACTAGATGCATGCCCGAAGGGTGGCAAGTCAATAACAAGTCTCAAAGGAGTTACGACCCACAAATACCAATTTCTTTGAGAGACCGAGAGGGCGAAGAGTCCTGCTCATGAGCCCCTTGCAGATGACTATACTAAATAGGAGGCAAGAGGGGTTTCCGCATAATTTGCTTGGGACTTCAAATGACACTTTCTTTCATAGTTACTTTTTTTTACAGTTTTGCATTACATCTCGTCTCCTCCACTCCCCTATCCCCATGAACATCTTAGCTTAAAACACGCCAGAATCAAAAATGGCATTTTCACTCGGGTTGAAGCATTCGGGCCGATCGCAAACCGAGTCACTAGTTTTGTTTAGTTCAGGTCACCGGAGTATACGTTGCCCGGAAACATTTTGCATATCCCGCCGTAGACGTGTTTCCGGCACAGTGGTAGTTTAGCCCCATGTCAGAGTACAAACATCTTCGCCCGAATTGAGAGCTAAAAGCATACCTATTTTGTAAGCCTCGCGAAAACCACAGACTTGCACACTTTCCTGAACCAATCGCATTCATTCAAAACAGCACAGCTGTTTAAAAACAACGGTAACATGTTAATGCGACAGTTTTGTAACCTTTATTGGTATGGAAATGCTCAAAAATATTATTTCATTATTACCGGGCCCACGTATTTCTTTCAAGCTAGAAAAGTTGATGACAAGACACCATTGTTTCATTTATAAATTCCTAGTTCTAATAAAGTATGACAGTCATATATTTAACCTGAGAAGTAGCCTGAAACTTCATCGCAAGAATATTCGCAGATGACAATGTCAGACAAAAGATTAATAGTCGGCGGGGAAGTTAAATGTGCGCCGGTTAACGGCACCAGTGTGTCGCAACCGTAGCATCAAGCTTTGCTCCAACCGGTAGCAGTCCAGTTGAGGGGGTCCCGAGGCGCAGTAAAACTTACGAGAGAAAATTCCGCGTCATTCTCCCTTAACCCGCGACCACGGCTCTCATCATCTCTGCTAAAGAATCATGCAGAGCGGCCTCGGAGTCTGGCTCGGCCCGAAGCCCATTCACGCCTCACCGCTTCCCACAATTCGTCGGCAGTGGCGCGGTAGAGGGGACGCAGTGACATGGCTACCTTGATGCGCCTCCAAACGTGTTCGATGATATTCAGATCGGCACCTTTTGGCGGCCAAGTCAGCTCCGTCAGGCAGCGCTCCTCTCGGAGATACGACAAGGTTGGATACGAGCGTGACAATGCATTTTACAATTCGGCGCTTTCTTGAAAGACACTGAAATGCATGTTAGCTGGAAACACTGGGCTGTACGGCACACGCATCGTGATATTGGTTCTATTGGCGAATATTTTATTTAGCAGACGGCCGGAAGAGCGCAGCGGCGCAGTGAGCGGAGTGAGAATTTATCTCAACCTCAGGGTGCGGCGCGTGTTTGGGGAGCGATGCGACAGGCGACGCAGGTAGTACCGTGCACAGGCCGGAGCGCTGTTTCAGCTCATATTGTCCGCGATAGTACCTCGCATGACAAGGCACTAGTCATTTGCAGTGCACCCGGCGCTATCTGATAAATACCGCCGACATCCATCAAACTATGTTCTTGTTGCTCTGCACACGATCAATGATACACTATCGAGTTATCTGAAGCAGGACTAAGATTTGGAAAGGTTGAGCAGATGACAGAGATTGGCATGTTGTTTGTGTAATTTTCTGAAGAGTTACTCACACCGGCAGATTCTGTCTTATCATTCCTGGAAAACCTTAAAGTTGCTCTACAAGACACATCAGACAAGCTTCAAGGTTTTGCCTAGTGTCAAGCAATCGCTGCAGGTGCTGTCACCGTCTGGCTCCCAATACGCGATCCAGCCTACGAGTGACCACAACACACGTTACTACTTCAAGGCATTATATTGAAATGTTTTTCGAAAACGGGGAAAGACAAACACTAGATGCATGCCCGAAGGGTGGCAAGTCAATAACAAGTCTCAAAGGAGTTACGACCCACAAATACCAATTTCTTTGAGAGACCGAGAGGGCGAAGAGTCCTGCTCATGAGCCCCTTGCAGATGACTATACTAAATAGGAGGCAAGAGGGGTTTCCGCATAATTTGCTTGGGACTTCAAATGACACTTTCTTTCATAGTTACTTTTTTTTACAGTTTTGCATTACATCTCGTCTCCTCCACTCCCCTATCCCCATGAACATCTTAGCTTAAAACACGCCAGAATCAAAAATGGCATTTTCACTCGGGTTGAAGCATTCGGGCCGATCGCAAACCGAGTCACTAGTTTTGTTTAGTTCAGGTCACCGGAGTATACGTTGCCCGGAAACATTTTGCATATCCCGCCGTAGACGTGTTTCCGGCACAGTGGTAGTTTAGCCCCATGTCAGAGTACAAACATCTTCGCCCGAATTGAGAGCTAAAAGCATACCTATTTTGTAAGCCTCGCGAAAACCACAGACTTGCACACTTTCCTGAACCAATCGCATTCATTCAAAACAAACCAATGCAGACCAACGAAATCTGGTTCAGTACATTTATTGGACAGGACACAAACTGGCTTAAAAAGAATACTTTGTTCGACACTTATGTACAGGGCTTAAAAGTGGAGTCAGTTTTTTTTTAAATAAAAAAGAAAGGATGTGGCACTTGGATAAATATACCACCCTTTCATACACAGTGGAAATGTCTCTTTGAATGATGCATCCGTATCATATCTGCACTGTACATGAGTATGTCAGAGACAGACCATGGAAATTAAAAGCTGAAGTTGGGGGGTGAGTAAAAGCTGCGAGATGCGCTCTATACTTGCTCATTTTAATGCAAACTGCAGACAAGGCTACGAGCCAGCAGGATCAATCTCAAGCGAGCCAAAAAACATGCGCCATGCTGCTCCGAGGTGTTGCAGGTCTGTGGTAGAAAAACTGCAACGTGTTGCATAATTCTTAACTCGCTCGTTACTGCGCCTGGCAGCCAAGCCAACAGTTTCACCCATAGTCCCCCCCCCCTCCCCGCCCCAATGTAAAAAAATGGGTTTCATTTAAAATCTTGCAACAGCAGTGGCGACTTTCATTCTTTTCACAATCGCACAAGACATGAGATTGCACACTTCGACCATCGATGTACACATGCAGTCCCACAGGCAATTAAAAAAACTTGTTCGCGTTGAGGTTGAGCGGTACATGCAGTGCAGCATGCATTGTCTCACATGCAATTAAAAAAACTTGTTCGTATTGAGTTTGAGCGGCAGTGGTGGTGACGCGGAGTCGTCCGCTAGAAGGGCAGCGTGGACGCAGGCTTCTGATTCGCGACGTAGTGAAACCTGGTGTAGAGGAAAAACAAAAGGCGGTGTGAGCGACAAGAACTCTAGCAGCACACTTTGTTCTGCGATTCCTTAGGACGTCTTAATGTTATGGGGATGTTCTATGGAGGAAATCCCCAGAACGTTAGGACATCCAAGGGACGTTCACTGAACTAAGCGCCGAAATCACAACCCTCGCCCCAACCGAGGTGCCCCTCCACTTCCTCGAGGCAGACGAGAGAGCCGGCGCCGGCCAATCGCAAGGACGAATAGGCAACCTAGGCTGCTTATTCACCCTCTCGCTTTCCTCGAGGAAGTGAAGGGGTACCTAAATAGGAGCAAGATTTGTGCATTCGGCGGTAAGCGTGCTAGTATTTGGGAAGGCAGGCAGCACCAAAACGGTGTAGGTCTAAGTAGGGCTCCATATTTTTAAGGCAGAATCTGTTTATACTCCATTTTAGAACTGCTCCAACAGTCGACTGTTCCACGTAGGTTGAACTTGTTTGAAGCGTATAGGCCCGTTATTAAAACAAATGAAAGATTACTCTCGAATGGGGATGGAACAAGGAACAAGCCATTCCCAGCCAGACACCACACCGACCGAGGCCATTAATGAGGCAGCTCCAGAACTGCAATTCACTAGAGCGAAGGTTTTGTGGTATTTGCAACGTCAAATGTACGTTACCACCAATGGGAAATGGTCGTTCGTAACACCTCTAAAAGATTTTCGAGCCAAGTGAAAAAAAAAAAATGATGCATGAATAAAAACAAAAACTGAAACTTTATGCAAACGGCAAGCATTCCGCGGCTACTCAAAGGACGGCACTGGCGTGTTCACTTGTCGCAACAGATCCCGAGAGGTGTCACTCGTCCGTAAGCAGTGCAAGCCAACCTTAACAGTTTGTTTATAAAGCCCTATTTACACTAGCTCAGCTACGCTGACAAAGACCAGACAAAGAATGCGTCCAGCTAGCATACACAAACTGTGCAGTTGTGCTAGCCCAGGAGAAGTCGTGAAGTCGAGAACATGAACGTGGGCAAACCGCTAAGCTGTACGGACCACCTGCGGACTACGTTCAGCGAGTCTTGAAGTCCAAACGGGCGCTTCATCGTTTGAACTGTCTTCTTCTCTTTCAAACGTTCCTTGCTTGTTATCGTCTGCTGCATAAACAGGCCCTGCCTGACCGAACACTCCAATGACATGCACAAGCAATGCATTTTTGAAGCAGGTGGAAACAATGTTCAACGAGAAGTGGCAATTTACCAAAAGGAAAGAAGAGGCATCTGCATTCCTAGTCACTGCCATGCCAATCACACAATCGGGCACCTTGGAAGCTAGAGTAGAATCATTATTTCAAGCTCCAGGAAGCGCCGAATTTCTCTCGAATTATCAGAAATTCATTTAAATACGATGCAAGATAACATTACAATTTGGTGCATGAATGGCTAGACATACAATGCAAATATCTTATGATTTCCTCCACATGGGCCTATAATCATAAGCAGGTATGCCATGCATAAAACATTGGTGAAACATAACACCAGTTATTTGACCCCTCAAAAATGTTTATCGTGGACTGTTTAGACAGCACGTGACACCTTAAAACACATTAAGTTTGTTCATCTAAAACAAAATGTGTCTGTTGTGGACTATCAGGCAGGGGACGCACGAGCGGTAAAACCAGGCGCTGCACTGCAATTTACATGGCAACTTGCGCGCACGCCGCAGCTATGGCGCGGCGCCCCGTCACGGCGTCCGTGCATGTTGCTATTGAAACTGCTGCACTTTCATTGCTCATGTGTCCCCTGCTTTAGCCCCATTGAGCGTGCTTCTTAACGAGCACCGGAGCACTGCGGAAAAGCAACACCCGCAGATACAAGCTTCGCAGGTGTTGGTTCTCCGCACGGCACCGATGCTTGGAAAGAAGCACACTCAATGTAGACAGCGAGAAAAAAAAAATATTGAATTGCATGAAAACGCCGTTATAATTAAATGGTTTATGAAATTTGATTAAAAAATTGCATTAAACAGGCTAAGACAACCGAAATTTTTAAATTTAGTTCAAACTAACCAGAAGTATGGCATATCCGAGTTTGAACTGTTGCGAACCTACTGTATGTCACTGCACTCTCTCCAAGTGTCCACACTAATGGCAAATTTGGGTGGTCAAATGCCGGCAAGACCGAGCCGGTGGTACCGACAACCACAAACGTGCCGGCGGAACATTATGTGACCACAACACATGAACAAAGGCTTTGGGCTTTGGATTGGTTTTAGATCCGTGGCCACTGGATAGACAAATAGTAAAAACCACGACGCTGCCATGGATGGTACCTATCGCCCTCTTGTGGATGTGCAATACACCGCAATTTTTACAAAGAAAAATTAAAAAAGAATTATCACATTTTTGTAAAATTTGAAGCAAGATTTATAAAATTGTAAAGTTAGTCCCAATTCATACATTTCTCAAAAAATTCGGAAGAATTGGCCGGTAGGAAATACTATTGCCAGTTTTCTGGAAAAATAAGTTGCCGACGATTGACCACCCGAATTCGACATAAATAAAAGTATGGCAATGCCTGGCACTATCACCATACAGCTGCTGCGAAAAGCCAAAGGAACGATAGAGTTATTGAAGAATGTGGCATTTGGTTATCTCGCATCAGGTGGGCTAGCTGAGTGCAGCGGTTTTAAGTTTGCTTGAACACTGAGTAATATGCCTCTTCACTGCCACAAATACCATAAAAGGGTTGCCCTAAATAAACTTTAAAAAACTTTTAGCCCTTCCACTCTGATGAAGAAGGAAGACCAGCAAAGCTGTACCTAAAGGATGACACTGGAAAGGCTGGAAAGGTTGCCGCCATTGCTCATAGATGGCTGTAGCTGGGGAAACTAGCCCTTAACAGCCCCCTGTAAAACTACAAGGGACTTGGGAGTTCCCAAAGGAAGTAGAAACGCATCGTTTTGAACGCAATGGTACTACCAGTGATTATACTGCATGACAGCAACAATGCCACCTCCGATGTTCTCACCAATGTCTTCCCATTTTTGCAAAGGATGTTTGACACCATGCCCGAACTACCGTCAATCATTGCTGCTTTCTCGAAACAAGCGGCCAGACAAGGCCAAGATATCAAGTTTTAAATCGATGTTCCCCACATGGTCATTTTTGTCACAGGAGTCTTGACAATGAAATTCGAGGGCTCACAAGGAAGCACAGAACAAAAAGGCATGCAGTGCAGTAGACTCACTTGAAGGACATGAACTTCTTCTGGATGGCCTGCTGTGCTTGTGTGCCAGCATTGCAGAAGCTGCTGTGCAGGCTGTGGATGCACTCCTTGAAGTCCTCCACGTTATAGCCAGAGTAGAGGACCAGGTCCGAGGACTGCACGCAATGAGAAGGAAAAGACATACGGATTGCGGAAGTTAAAGGGGCACTCCTGCGTTTTCTTCATAGTCCCCGATTTGCCTCAAATTTGACTCAACTCTGAGCATATGTTAACCGTAGCCATCTGTTATTCTTCCGTCCCCTCTGCCGCCCCCGCTCAGTTCTTTCCTTCCGAATTGCTCCCAACAAACCGAGTTCTCTAGAGCCAACGAGCCCCCGCCGTTCAAACCCACCGTCCATTCTTTTCGCCCTCAGTTCTACCCATCGCCCAAATGTAAACACCAGCCAAGTCGACTCTGCTCGCAAGCCCCGGCAGCAGACTTCTTCGCCGCAGCTGTAACCTTACCCCTCACTTTATAAATTAGCCTCGCCCTCGCCAGCTGCCATCGCCTCAAAGTACTCCAAGCCCACGTTCTTCTCTTCCCAGTTGCTTCCGCCCGTCCCACTGACTCAGACAAACCTTTCTTTTCCGTAATAAACAGTTATCTTAATCTTTAAACTTGTTCTTTCTTCCGGGGGCCTATCACCGCCCCCCCACAACAAATACTGCCGAATCAACCAAATTGTTTGGTAAAAAATATTTCGCTGATTGATTAAATTTACAATGTTGCTCCTCGGTTTTCTTTTCGAGACTGAAAGTTTCTACCGGCAACAATGAAAAAGTGACGCCAACGGCAGGTAAGGTCCATTTGTGGAATGTGGAATAGGTCCCGCGGATTACAAGCAGTTTCAAATAAATGTTTTGGAGCTCGATCAACCGCCATGCTACAGCATGAAACAAATTCTTGGCATACTGTACTGCATTTACACGATTGTAGGTCGAGTCGTAGAAACAAAGCATTCCACAGCCGACAAAATTAATCAACTGCGACATCAAGGACACATTTGCTCGAGTTCAGTCGGTTGAACCAGTAGCATCGCGCCATTCCGTACGCTCATTTCAGAACTTTTCGTCTTGATTTTAAGTGCACGGAAAAGTATTATTTATTTCCATGCGCAAACCAGCCTGAATGTTTCGCAGTGAACGGACGCGCCTGAATCACGAAAGTTACGACACTTGACGCAAAAGCCCCTTCGGAACGACCCTGGAACAGCCTCACTCCCCTGCTTTTCGCAAAATGCACGGTCGCACATCGTTTTATCGAAAGTTGAGGTCATGCAAGCTTGCTAGGGTGCCAAATAAGTTTTTTTCTATCGACACTTTTGATCCAGGCAGCTACAGTTCTGACTGCTCATTTACGGCCCGTCCTTCATCCGAAAGCGACCGAAAACAGCGCTGCTTGACGCAAGTTCGACCGGCCAAAGCGGGCGGTGCAACAGCAGCGTCAACGACAGAGGGACTTAATCATGGCAGCAAACTGAGTGGCTTCCGAGGGCCAAAGTCTGGATAGGTCCAGATGCTTTCCGAAATTAGAGGTCAAGCTTGCAACGTACGTCGCAGCAATGGGCGATCGGCTGCTGCCCGTGACGGGCTATGCGATCACAGAGAAAGCGCGGAAGATGCGGTCATTTGCTAAGTGCGAGAGTTTGCAGGACGATACGACGAATCAGCGTCTAGTAGTAGACATAGAGAAAGAAGGACAGGGGGCAGCTTCAGTTGTTCCGCCTCCAGCTTTGATAACTCTCAGGCATCTCGTGCGCCTCGCATGTGCGTGACCGACCAAAGCACGGCAGAAGGCATCGAATGCATGCTGGAGTTCGAGGTTTGCCATAGAATGTGCCTCTAAAGTGTCATCTTTCTTTTTTGCTGCTGTGGAATTTTTTCAGGGGGGGGGTCACTTACAATTGTGTGATAACACTATTTAGACTCCCTGCTCGTCTGTAATGTGACACTGAAAAGTACAGGTATACTTGAATGTTGGGTTTGACATCACAATAATTTGCCCTTTTCACGATAACTATTTTGACTTTTGCGATACAAAAAAGTATACCAGAGATGGTAAAGGCCGGCGATTCAAAAAACCGAGTTAGTTGGGGTGGCTGAAAAAAAATGTTGTGGGAGTACACCTTTAAGCACAACAGACTTCAATGGCTTTTGGGACCAAACTATGGCTCATGAAGGTCTGCTTAAAAAGTCACAAGTGCGCCGCTTGCCCGCTGCGCAATCTGTCAAGTGGGCAAGGAACCGCCCACCTAAACTAGAGTGTCAGTAACACAACTTGCAAAACAAACACTCGCATCGAACGTCAGCTAGAACATCAAAAAAAAAAGAAATCTTGCCGTCAATACGATGAAGATCTCTAACCACAGTGCGAGGCCGACAGGGTATCTATGCTCACTGAGGTTCTCATTTTAACATGACCTCCAAGAGCCCAACCACCCATAGCACAATTTTAATGCGAAAGCATTAACTGTCCCATGGAGCAAACCGCAGTCATCAGCATTGAAGCCGCGCCAAACGGCACCTTCCCCCGTCCAAATGTCGTCTGTAGCAGAAATCTGACGGCCCATTGGCTGGCGCATGTCATAGTTTCAGGGAACGAGGCTCCCATTGGCTCTCGTGCAGCATATTTCCAAGGGACGCCACTAGATGGTGCAGTGCACGCAGCGGCCCGGCAACGTGCGGTAGTGAGGGCCTGGTTGCGGAGCCCCTCCGGGCAAAATCAAGAAAGGGTGCACGGCCAAGCTCAGCGCAGCCACTTCACGAGAGCGCGTGCTCGGCCGTCGGCAAGCAAAACCTGGCCGTCCACGCCATGACGCCGCAGACGAACTGAGGGAACGGAAGGTCGCCATTCATGCTTTCGCATCCACAACTCATAAGTGCGTAGGTGTCCTCGAAATATATTGGCTGGAAATTCGTTTTCTCTCCGCCCAAAAACAGCCGGTTTCAGTGGCGCTCACTCTTTTCTATGGTCACGTGGCGTTCAAACTACAGTTATCCTTAGCTATAATAAAGTCAAGGGGACAGCAAAAAAAATGGATATGGTGGTAATTCGATAAAAGCGACAGGCAAAAAAAATAGTGCCAACACCTTGAAGGCAGATGGTAAGGCTACGGTACTTTCTGACCGTACATTTAGTCAAGCCAACCTTGGTTATGAGCATCTTGCAGCCGATTTATTGAGTAAAGAATTAACTAAATTGAGTTCGCAGATTATTTCATCCTGGCACGAGTTCACCTCGAATTTCTGCAGCCATTGCAAGAACACTGTCACCGCCAGCGCACTCCACTTTGTTTCGAAGTAGCCGTAAGATGTTTCGCATTTCCGCAGTCGTCGCGCTTCCTGAGTGCCTCTCCAACGTCACTTTGTGTTTGCCCCGGCCGCACGCAAAGGCTACGATCGCAGCATCTGTTGCAGGACCTACACCGGGAACGTCCGCATCGACAAGCACGAACCAATCAAAGTTACCCTTAAGAGCTTTGCAAACGTTTTTTAGGGATGCCGCGAACCTTCCAAAGTTCAAGTTCTAAAGGTTTCGAAATGTTCAAAATTCTCTTAGATCCGACTTTGAAAAGTTTGCAGCATTATAACTCTGCTAACGTTCAATGTTTCGAATAATTCGAAAATGTTAAGCTTTCTGAACCTTAAGTCCTAAGACATCAAAATATTTTTATAGATAGCTGGAAAGATTTGAATATTGAACATTGCATTGAACACTGAAAGGTTCAAAAGTTGAATTTTAAAATCCAAGCCTGAATTTCATGGAAATTCAGGCTTCGAAACTGCGGAAATCAAATTCCACAGTTTCAAACGAAGTTTTCATGAATTTATAAAGCAAAACGCGAAATGTGTTACAAATTTTACTGAAAACGTTGCCCATTTTTCTTAAGCCGTTACATACACCTTCCTTCTTCGTGCTGTGCTACTGACGGCACAACCTCTTTTACTCGTTATTTGTCGTAACTTACGAAACACGCGTTGAACTGGTTGTTAGTCTCCCGACACCATATTAAACCGCCTGGCAAAAAATAAAAGTAATTTTGCGGAGATGCCATTGTCTCTTGAAAGGCCGACGTACAACCTCTGTTTACTGCAGGGAAGACAATCCTCTTAGCTTTCCCCTCTCCTAAGCTGCGAGAAGAGCCAAGTTGGGGCGAGGTAAAAACTGGAGAGCATATAGGAAAGGAGGACAGCAAAAGTGGACTGGGCAAAGTCGGCCTTTAAGTGGTGAGGGAGTATTAGCACCGCTACTTCTCTAGCTACATCCTCATTGCCGTTCACCACAAGGAATAAGAACGCTAACCGATTGATAAGTCAGACTCACCCACGGGTATCGGTTGAGTGTGTGGTTTGCCAGGCACAAGGACGCACCGGCAACGATGCTGGGCAGGTACTGAAGGTACGGGTCGTCCTCCAGGAACGTCAGCTCGCACAGATACTGGAAGAAATGCCGCGCTATACTCGAGTGGCAACTGGTTTAAAAGCACACTGCAGAAGGCACTTCCAAACTTCTCATAATTAACACGCTTGATAAAAAGGGTAGATGCCTCTTTAGGCCAGTGTTGTGGACCAAGCACACTTCCCCGCCCAAATTCCGAGGAATTAGTTTATGCCTTCCAACTCCCATGAGTGGAGACACGGAGCCCATTCTCACTCCTGAAATGGCTGAACTGCTACACTTCTCCGATTCCTAAACGTCGAAAATGGCTTTTCGCAGCTCCATGGCATTGCTGGCAAAATCTGCATAAATTCGATGTCATAAATTGCGTAGCAGACAACTGCATAGACCGGCACAATGCGTTCACAAAGCACTGATGTGAAGAGCACGTTATGCAAATCACAACCTCTTGCGGTCCCTTACCGTGCAAGAGCACCCCCGCCGCCATCTGTCGGGCAGCTGTGGAACTCTCGCGATTTCTGAACATTTCCCATTTTTTCATTCACATCATTCTTTTGGTGTGCAGAGCGCAAGTTGGTTTGCTTCTTTGCAGGGGTGTCAATAATGTGAGAACGACGATTTCTTATTGGCTAATGCAAAAATATAGTGGGTAGACCTCAAGGCACCTAGCATAAGGCCTAGCCACTATTCTTTCGATCAAAGCCAATCAGAGCCCGGCGTCGTTCTGACGTCACCACAAATCCTCTGCGAAAAGCTGACTTTCTCTCCATACTGGCTTGAAAACCTTACTGTAAAGTTCTGTGAGAACGACCGCCACCGAGAGATCGCCCATCCCATTTTTCTGGCTAAATATCTACAACATAAAAATTCCGAAACATCACCCACCCCCGATTCCTGTCAGACGTCACGCAATGTCCGACAGGAATCGCATCAACCGTGTAATTTATTGCACTAGCGAGATTATAGCGGTTTATAGTTTGTGTGACAAGCGAGTTTATAGCGGGTTCCCGCGTTTTTGTCCGCGATCTGCGTGCGCGATCTCGATTCCACTTGAGTTGGTACCACATCTATATTGCATCGTAAAATACGATTCTGCTGCATTCACAATCTGCGGGATTTATTCCCGTAGCATACGAGTTTGTAGCGGATTCCCGCCTCTTTGTCCTTGATCTGTGCACGCGATATTGTTTCCCGTGACAGACAGGCTTGTAGTGGGTTCCCGCCTGTTTATTGCACCATAAGACTTCCATCTGCTACGTTCGTGATTTGCGGCATTCGTTCCCTTGAGATGAGAGTGCTCGGGCAGATTTCCGCGGGACCTTAACACCGTGAAACGCGAATCTGCTGCGTCGGCAACCTGCGGTATAATTTCCCGTGACACAGGAGTTTGTAGCGAATTGCTGCTTGTTTATTGCATTGCGACACTCGAATTTGCGGTGTTCACGATCTGCCTTACCAGTTCCCGCATCACATGGTTAGTAGCCAGTTTTTGATAAAGTTTTGCTGTGGCGTCCCCAAAGATAGCCCGCCCCTGTTTTTCACCATTAATCTCTTCATTTTGGGTGGGCGTTCTTTCGGAACTTTAGGTAATGTCATAAACGACCTTTTCAATAAATGAAACATCGAAAATACTGCAAAACCTTCGCTGCAGTGAAATGCAGTTCCAAAGTTGTCGCAAAGGCGCACTCCCGTGGTTTTCGTAGACGCTTGTTTTTAATGGCCTATTGTTCATTGGGCCTTGTTCAATAAAAATGACCAGTTCTAGATGGCAAGATGTCATAGTAAACTGCCAGCAAAAAATACACGACTACTTCATCTTCGGGGAGTAGGGAGGGAGGGGCATCTTCCGGTCTCCACCCCCTCCATAAAATTGGACCAATGAAAAGAGGGAGTTGCGTGAAATCACAAATATCTGTAATATTGCTCTTTAAGTGCATCAAGGATTATATTTCGACAAGAATGAAATCTCTGGGTGCCCGATCGGGGTGACATTGGCAAAACGAGCTGCAAGGAGGTGACATGAGCGTCGATCGGCTGCAAATATCTCCACCTTTCCTCCTTGCCACCCGCAAACACAGCGCGCCTGCAACCGATCATCACAGGAGGCGTTCACCATTGAATTGTAAACGCAACCCATGGTTTTAGATGGATCCTCTCTTCAATCTAGGCTCTAGTGAAAATGCCAACCGACGGGGCCCCTACTGTCTGCTTTAAGGCGCAGAAACAAGTGCGTCACAATCTTCGGTTAGATTTTTAGTACAGAAAATTGCCACCCTTGAGCGTAATTTCAGGTCTTTTTAGCATGGCTTGAGCCCGCAAATTGAGTCGTCGTCATAAACAGACAATCTTAGAACCTATTCGAGTTCCCCTTTAGGATATCGCGCAAGGTCGTAATTTATCAAGTCGCAAGCGGTCGCAAGAGTGCGCACCGGCCTTTGGTGACAAAGGCGGCACCTAATCAAAGAAAGCTCCTCACGTGAGCCAGGTGCTTGATGGTGTCCGGGGCCTTGCCGACTTCCGCGAAGCGGAGCAGGAAGCAGTAGATGGTGGGGGCCGCCATGTCGAACGAGAGCACCTTGAGCACGAGCTGTTCCATCCGGAGCACCTGTTGCTTCGTGTACGTGTCGTCCGTGATGAAGACAAACTCCGACACCTTCGGCGGGTAGATCTCCTCAAACTTCCTGCAGCGCCCACGTCAGACGCACCGATTAGTCTACAGACAAATGGCGCACTTACTAAGGGTGAGAGAGAAACGAGAGCAGTCTTCTGGCCGTTCGAGCTAGTCGTGCCAGAACTGCTCGTTCGGAAGAGCCTTCCGTACGCCACCGTCTGGCAAAACCCAAACACGACAAATGGTGTCAACTCTGCTATGGGTTTGTCGAATGCAGCTCATCTAGGAGGAGGTGCCGAATAAGTGACGAATGGCTTAAAGGCTTATACACACGACTGCAGCCGCTCGAATCTCGTTAAGACTGCTTCCGTTCAGCTGTTGCTATGGTGACTCCTACGATGAGCCAATGGGCAACGCAACGCAGTCGATGGAACTGTGTGGACGAGCTTTAACGCTTCGAGTGCCACACCCGAATAGAGCAGGGTGCGCTTCCATATCGTGTCTGGGTTTGCTGCCTGCCTCATTCAACCGGGCAGTCTGTTTTTTTTTTTTTCAACGTGTAGCAGCATGCAATGGCAAGCGATGAAAACAATGTTTTATTGTGCAGTGTCACTCTTTGTGGGCACATAATTTCTTTTGTTTAGGCAACTTCCGTTTCGATATTGTGCTTTTCTGTTGTTACAGATTGGTAGATCTGTATATCAATCTCGCACTTCAAGGAGGACGCCGAGATTTAGAAATATCCGACAAGCTGTATCCGACGACTGCGAGATTGCATCTTAATGAGTTCACTTATGATAGCGATAGAGGGTTCCTCTGACACTCGAGCATATAACTTATTACCATTTGTGATCAGAACAGATATCGAGTAAAAGGAGTAGTATTAAATAAGGCTCTAGTCGGAGTAGGTTTATCGCATAATGCGTACTAAATATGATTGAAAAGTGATTCGTACTGCCACACTCCACTGGAATAAATCCCCACTCCCTTTTACACTAGGTAGTTTGTTTAGCCTGTAAATATAATTGATTTAAAATACAAGCAAGAAACAGCATATCCAGTAACACGTCTAACAAGAGATATCTGTCCCGTAAGTTTATTGAACCTGCCAAACTAGAGACATATCCTAAACTGCAAAGACATTCACCCAAAAATATTATAAAAGCCTACACTTGAGCTTTAAAAGTGACACTGCTCTTAGCGGCATAGGAATCGGAGTTGATCAGTTTGCTGCTCTTTCGATCTACAGCTGCACGGGGACTACCGTGCTTACTGTATTTATTCGTATGTATATACTGTAAACGATTAATTTTATCGCGGGCTCAATATTTTGCGGTTTAGGTCAAAGCTGAAGTTTTGGAATATTTTGCGGGTTTCAATTTTCGCGATGGGGTGGGATGATCTAATATAGATTCCAATGTGTTTACATTTTACCGGAATTGTTCGCGGGACCCGATTTTCGCGAATGTAAGCGATTCGCAAAAATGAGGTCGTCGCAAAAATTAAGTTGTTTACAGGGGTGGCCAGGCTGGCCCGGCCTAAGAGCTGCAAACAAAACCACGAAACTTCCAAGAGCCGTGGGGGGGGGGGGGGGGCACACCTTTTGTTGAGAGCAATAAGCGAAACTCGAACTACTTTCAATCTATCCGAGTCAAAAGCAGATAAGTCTACGAAACCGCAATCTGTCTTTCGATATAAAACTCGTTCTATTTCTGTCTCTGGGAATTGTGTGTGTCTGTATGTGTGTGTGTGTGTGTGTGTGTGTGTGTGTGTGTAGGGGGGGGGGGTGTAGGAGAGGGAGCCGCGAGCCGCACTTTAACGTGCGAAGAGCCGCATGTGGCTCGCGAGCCGCAGCTTGGCCAGCCCTGGCATATACCCTTGTTTTTTTTCTCCCTTCTCTGCTTTTTTTGTTTTTTTGAAGAGATTAATTTGCAATTAGGACAAAGCTCAACCTGTAATAAATCGGAGCATAATTTGCATGCCCATTGCGTTAGGCCAGGCGTTGCCCCACAACAGCCGCTGCTCGTAGCACTCTGGTGCAAAGCGGTGAAGCTCGGCGTGCGCACACTGATGAAAGGCAGTGAAGGCTGACGCAAGCGGTGCAAGTGCCACGGCACGGAGGCATGTGGCAGACACGATAAATGAGTGCTCCTATCATGAGTACGAGTAGCTGCAATCAACTATCTTAGTATTTTGCAAAAGGTTTGTCGGGACTGTCTCCGAAATCGACTGGAAATTTAGAAGTCGGCGATTAACCAGCCAGTGCGTCAAGCGGCCAGAGCGGTCGATGCCCAGCATCAACGGCTCTGCCCAGTTGAATTGCCACTTCAAAGCGCGACATTGTGGCGTTCATGATCTCCTTGTACCTGTGCTTTCATCGGCCAAACCAGTCACGCGCAATCAATAGCCCCGTACCTTGCACTTGTAATACGAGTGTTTTGGTGGCGGGTGTTCGAGCCTTCGCCAGTGCTCCGACATAAGACGAGGCAAACTACACGGTGTGTAGAGACGCCGTGAAACTCATTTGTAAAATTTTTCTTTCCCTCTACTTCCCCAAATATTAAGGTCAACCAATAATGAAACATTAATATTTTTCTGATTTAGGCCCATCTAGGCACATGTGAGGCACACTTCTTAGCAAAAATGGCATTCTGGCACAAGAAGTAGCAGGATTCATAATGCAATTTGGCGCAGCACTTCCATCAGCAATGCTTGGGGCACACAAACTGGGCGTGTGCCATAAAAGCTGCCCTAACCATAAAAAAAGAAAGAACATGCATCAGTGTTGTGTGTAATCAAGATCGGAGCACGAGCGTGACGTCACCACCTTCGCTCTTACGCACGAGGAGTCCACTCACGCAGCGATGTAGAGGGCGGCTGTGCCGACGAGCTGCAGTTCGTTGCGGATCACCGACATGGCGGAGAGGAAGCGGTCCACGTAGGAGACGCCGAGGAAGAGCGTCTCCGGGTGCAGGCGATACTCCTCGGCAACCTCCACCAGCCAGTCGACGAGGATGGCGCGCATCGAGGACGTGATGTCCGGCTGCCTGCTCATGTACGTCGGCTTCAGGGTCAGCTTCTCCTTCGCGCACCCGGGGAGAGAAGAAGAGAGCCGTGAGAGACTCGCGTGAGAAGGCGTGCTTGAGGTTCTGCACCCTTTGCAGTTCTCGTACAGTGCCGCAACATTTTTTATATTTTTTCAACAACTTACGAGGCATTAAAAATGACGGCTCAGAGTTCCGACACTTTGAAGGACTTGTGGGAAGCCTGCACGGTGGATAGTTTCATTGAAGTGCTCAAACCCGTCGTTTAAAGTTAAGCAAGGTATCGTCTGAAGTTGCGGAGCAGCTTATGCGGTTCCGCGACTGAGGGAGACGAATTTGCCCGAGCCTCTCGACGCCGTATCCAAGGTTCGCGAAGTCCCAATTCGAGTGGTAGTTATAGTTAACTGCTCTTATGCTTTGCGAAACAATCGGAGAATGCGGTGTCACTAGTCTGGGTTCCCAAACTGCCTTTCTGGGGGACGTAGGGGGTTCCTCCAAGACTCTCCCAACTCCCAAATTTCCTCGAACGTCCCCACCCCCGGGTGAAGCGTTTCCTCGGTTTAAGTGCCATTTTCGCAGATCTAAGCCTTCTGTCAATGCTTAACTACAAGCCATACACTTCCTGCACACCTTGTGAGCAACGGGGGCTCCTTAACCTCCTCACTGGGGCATCTAAAAAATCCCGTTACCTTATCAGTCTGACATTTTTTGCAGAATAAATGTTCAGTTTTAAGTAAACCTCTGGGCAAGCCCACTGGTGCAAGCGCAAGCAGACAAGTTAGTCCTGGTGCCAGAGTTTCGAGAGGCTGCAACTCAGGCTCCACCAAGACTAGTTTTCAAACGGAGTCGCGTGCAATGTGTGCTGCACCAGACGCTCATCGTTTACAGTCACTCGAAGAAAGGGAAGCACCATTTCCCCGACCGATGCCGATCAAGGTGGAGAATCCCCGGCTTTTACAGTATCGCCGAATTCCCCTAACAACTCTCGGTTTCCACAGTTCCCAGAATGGTAGATGCCCCGTTTACTGCATCAATCTCCAGATTGGGGTTTCCTCGAGTCTGGAACGTTCCCCGGGGCGGTTCGCTGGTGAATGCGGGTATTTCTCCCGGCGAGAGATTATCTGGCAACGTGACTGCCTCAGAGGACGGAAAGTACCTGTACTCCATGTCACAGGTTGTGTGCAGTGCAGGCGAAGGAAATGCCAGGCAAAGAGAGAAAGGGCGAGCACCAGGAAAGGAGAGGAAAGGAAAGGAGGTCTCTCCTCGTCCCCAGCCTTCCTAGTGCTTGCCCCTTCTCACCTGGCACTGCCTTTGCCTGAACCGCATGCAACTAGTAACACAGGCAATAGCGTTCCAGCCGATATCGCTCGTCAGACCCTTGCCTATTTTTTTTACTCTCACTCCAAGACTATGTTTCCCAGAGATAACTTCACATGCCACTCCTAAAGCAGACAAATGCTATTAGTCTCGCATTTCAAGCCTCTTCATCTTCTCGCCCGTGCAAAAGCATACTTGAATAATCTAAGTGAGGACAGAATTGTGGCCAAAGCGGGCTTGTGCTACGTCTTACTTTCTGTCCGTGTCTCGTTGCACTTCTGTCATAAGGAATGACGTACCAACTAGTCCATCTCTAACTACTGATACTATTTATGGCAGCCATTTGCCAATCTCACAGCCACCTATGCTGCCCTGCAGAGTCGAGTCTGGCGCATCTTCCACAGTGCACGCACACCGTAAAAGCCATTCGCTCGAGCGCTGTGTTGCCTAAAGAAAAGAAAGACGAAACAGAAATCAGATAATAAAAAAAGACGAAAGTCGTACAACTGAATCAGCGTTCCTTCATCTTACAATACATTACACCTCATTTACGTTTACAACGCGTTTAGGCGGTCTTCTTCGGATGAGAGCGCGTAAAAACGAGATGCAAGACAAAGCCATGCACTCTCGCAGCAGTGCCGAGCTGCAGCACAACACAAGAGACGCTAGCCTGGACAACATAGCAGAAAACAGTAGACGTCGAGTTTTCTTTGTAGGTACCTCGTCCCCACGAAGCCAGTCATGCGACAGTAAAATCACCGGCAGAGAAACCTACATTCACTAGCAAACCGACCCCGGTGGAGAAAGCGGCCCATTCAGCGGCTCTACAACGCTGGCGAAGCCGTTCCAAAACGAAGCAGCGGCCCCATCCCGCAAGGCCGCAGGCACACTGCCCGTTAAACGTACAAAAGGTATGGTGCGTGCATGGAGCACGTTTTCTTCATACAACTGTATGCTTCGAACACGTCCTTTTGCAAGACGTATCAGCAGCGGCGTGAAAGAAAGAAGCCCACCCACCTCCTGCTGCCTGAGGTGGGTGTAGATGTCCTGGGCGTACTCCGAGCTGGCCTCCAGGTCCCGGATCTCCATGTAGGACATGGGCTCCAGGGTGTGCAGGGACGCGTCCAGGACCATGAGGGAGTCTGGGCCCCAGGGTCCAGGGTCTGCAGGGTTCCCCGGTTGAGGAGAGGGGAAGACGGCGGCGGGTCCGCTCGTCGGTGCAACCAAAGTGCCGCCCCCAACACGTTTTGACAGGAGCGCCCGGCCTCCTGTTCCGCCCACGCATTACACCATCTCCAGAGCGGCGACGAAGCGAGTCGCAGAAGCCATTGAGTAAAGGTCGATTCGGGCAGTTGAATTTCAGTGTGACAAACTACGCCGCGACTCCTCGAGTAAGCCTGGCGTGCCCCAGTCTGTCGCACTCTAGGCAAATGTCCGAACAGGTGTGCATCAGGTAGGAGGCTCTCTGGCACTTGTCAATGCGTAAGAACTGCACACGTGTGGTAACAAGGCTGTTTTTTCTTTAAAGGTGCACTAAAGACGTTTCTGAGATCGTCTGTTTTCAGGGGCGGATTTAGAGGGGGGGTGCGGGTCCGGATGCCCTGACCCCCCCCCCCCCTCCCCCTTGATTTCTGAATATGTACAGTCGGGGACAAAAGTCCCCAGGACATGCGAGCTGCGGCTGAAACGCATTGCTCTGCGCCTTGTGTTGTGTCTTCCCTTGTCCTGGTCTTTCGGCGCTTGTCTTTTTCCATTATGAACCAACTGGCCCAACTCACCATTTTGTTGCATTGCTCTGCCGTCTGCCGGCTGGTTGTCTGGTTTCGAGATCACACAAAAGCGCATACGCGTCCTACTCTGCCTGCAAACATGTGTGTTTTCCCGCTCTTCTGCGGCACAGCGCCTAACTCGGAATCGGACGCATGGTACCGCCTCAGAGATAGCGCTGGCGGCTGATGAGCGTCTGCTACACATTCCAAAATTGGAGATACCGCCTGCGGCGTTGCACCTCATTTCGCCGGGTTAGCGCACCTTGCTTTATAACCAGTTCAGCTTATCGCTCAGTTGAGCTGCCGTGACTTCTTGCTTTATAGGTGCCATGTCAGTAAGCGCTATCTCCGAGGCGGTACCACGCGCCCGATTCCGAGTTAGGCGCCGCGCCGCAGAAGAGCGGGAAAGCGCAGATGTTGGCATGCACAGAAGGACGCGCATGCGCTTTTCCGTGATCTCGAAACCAGGCGACCCGCCGGCAGATGGCAGAGCAATGCGTTTCAGTCGCAGCTCGCACGTCCTGGAGACTTTTGTCCCCGACTGTACAATTTATGGCGTAAAACGAGGAAAAGGGGGTTCCAAATCATACAGTACGCTGACCAACACCTGACCCCCCTTAGGAAATTCCTGCATCTGCCCGTCTGTTCTTGTTGGTAACTCATTGTACAGGATCTTAGCACCACAGAAATTAAAAAGTAGGCTCGTGCGACGTCCATTTTCCTACTAAAAATGTGATTGAAGTTAGTGAGATGCCCCTTTCCGAGTGGAAACCTCTGGAGCACAGAATCCAGCGGAGGCGTGACAACGGGCACACGGCCTGGCTGACACTCGCTCATCGTCACGCGGCTGCCTCCGCTGGATTCCGTGTTCCAGAGTTTTCCACTCAGAAAGGGGCATGGCACTAACTTCAATCACATTTTTAGTAGGAAAATGGACGTCGCACACTTTAATTTCTCTGGTGCTACTATCCCGTAGTATGAGTTGTCACCAAGAACAGACGATATCAGGAACGTCTTTAGGGCAGCTTTAAATACGGAAGCTCCCTGTGACATGAGCCAATGGGGCTAACCACAGCGCAATAAGTGAAACGATGTGAAACGTTGTGTAGGAGTTGTGAGAAAAGCCGCAACGCCGACGGACGGTCCGCCGGTATGCGACGCGACAGCAGACTCACCCGCGGCCTCGCACTCCATTCCACAGTCTGGAGAGTCTGAGCAGACATCGCCGGACGCTCCCCGATCATCCGAATGCGGAGCCTTCTCGCCGTCCTCGTCGGGAGCAACGGCGAGGACAGCCGCCTTGACGTCGACTTGCGACCCCCGTGCGCGAGATGACTCTGCGTAGATCTCGAAGCTCGGTGGAGCAGGGCACAAACTGGATCCTCTGCAGCTCAGTCTGGCCGACCGCCGGGCGTTGGATTCCTGCGTTCGAACGTTGTTGCCACCATCGATTCAATCGATCGACAAGGCGACCGAAGAAGGGCACCGTATACCCCGGACTAGAGTCGCTTTAGAGCCACCTGGAGAGTCGGGCGTCCTTCGTTAATCTGGAACGCATTTTAAAAGAGGCAGAGTCGGGATTGGTGCAGCCGTTCCGCAACGGTGCAGCCACACCGTGCCACTGCCGGCTAACTTTCCTGGGCTACCGCCCCGCCACGTTTGGTGGGGGCGCCACGGGGGATCACCTGGGCAAGCGACTTCTCGGTGTCTCGCAACACGGAATGCAGTCGTGTAGTCAAGTCGTAAACAATCAAAAGCTCCAGTTGTCCCGACTCTAGCGCGACTGCCTTACCTTCGACAACTCGTACACCAGCAGCACGCGTGCACAGCCACGCAGAAGGCATGAAGCACGTGTTCGAGGGCTGTCAATTCAAAGACACGCCATTTTATATCTGCCACCGACTGCAGCGACCTTGGGGATTGAGTCGCGGTGCAATATGGCACCACGACTCGACTTCTCGACGTGGTGCTGCCCAGATTCGCATATGTATTACTAAGGCATTCTGTGTACGGGATGTCTGGGTGCCAGATCAGAGAAGCTCCTTAATTATTGCAAGGAGCAGAGACCACGGACAAGCAGGTTGGCTGCCAAGCAGGTTATAAGTACTAGGAGGGGGCACATTGCAATATTGGTGGAGCCTAGTGATAAAAAGTTTAAACGATGTTGTGGCCAGTGTGATCGTAGATCTCCCTGGCAATTGGTGCGCGTGGCATATCACGTGTGAGATGGACGGTTGATTGTAGAAAGATTCCTTGCATGCTTGTGCGCGCTCCGTCCAGTAAGTTTTGTCAACTTCTAGACGAAGGCTAGCTACGGTCACGTGATCATGTTGGGCTAATAAGTGAGGAGAGTAAGTAGGAAAGTGAGAAAGAGGCGTCAAGGGAGCATGGCTTGTGGAGGCTACGCGGTCATGCCCTCTCCTACCCTTCTATCCTCCTAGTTGGCTGCTCTTAGGGAGCAGCCATCGGGTTTAGACCCTCAGCATGGGCATCGCGAGAGCGACCATGTTTCAAGAGCAGCGAAACACGTGCATCTCAACACCATCGGTGGTTTCAAAATGCCCGCATTGCGCCATTGGAGTAGGCAAACTTTGTCAGAGAACAAAGACCCAACCTCCCACGGACTGTAGATGACTCAACACTAGCCCTAACGAAATGAAACCTTTTCATCTCATTTCGTTTATTTAACGCTCAAATGCCCACATGCCTATCACCTTATGAACAGTCAGCAATCGCAGGTTGTTTAGAGTGTAAATATTTTGCACAACACCCCCCCTCCTTTCCCCACCGGATTTAAAGGTGCACCAGAGACGTTTCCGGGATTGTCTGTTCTTGGTGATAACTCATTCCACGGGATCTCAGCATCCCAGAAATCGAGAAAATATGCTCGTGCGAAGTCTATTTTCCTACTAAAAATGTTATCGAAGTTCGTGCCACTCGTCTTTGTGAGCAGAACAATCTGGAGCACATAATTCAGCAGAGGCTCCAGCCAATCGCAAGCAAATGTGCCTCGCGCACTGGCGCTGAATTCTGTGCTCCAGATTTTGCCGCTCAGAAAGGGCCGTGGCACAAACTTCGATCCCATTTTCAGCAGGGAAATAGACGTCGCACAAAAATAATTTCCCAATTTCTGGGATACTAAGTTCTCGTAGAAGGAGTTATCACCAAGAACAGACAATCTCAGAAACGCCTTTAGTGCTTCTTGAGGATGGTGGCCAATGACAGCCTATAAGATTTCTTACCTAACGAAATCTAAAACTGAATTTCTCCTGCTGAATTTAACGCCATGGTATACAGTACTTTTGCCAAATTCAGTGGCTCTAAACTGCACCAGCTACATTTGCCAACTAGTTTATCTTACTGTTTGTGTTTGGCACGTGGGAACTCTAACCAAGCCAGAAGTGGCATCATTTCGACATTGAGGAAACTACTCTATTTCTAGTTGATGTAATCATACTACTCACACGCAGTCTTCTGTAGCATTAGGTTAACAAGGTCACATAGCAATAGAAAGAAAGGGGGGGGGGGGGTTACTAGGGGCAGGAAACTAAGTCTTCAAGCTCTCAGTTTCTTGCCAAGGGAGAAACTCGGTTCCTCCCTCTAAATGAAAGCACAACGTCGCATATGTACCAGAATTCAAAAAGAGGCCGGGTGAACTGCAAGGTTCTTTACCTCAAAAACTGGGCAGTGTCGATAGATAAACTGTTTGAGAAGCTGCGTGAGCGGTTGTATGTATGTCTTAAAGTTTAAGAAACGGTCGACATAGAAAGCCACCCATTCCAATGTTACTGTCACAGATATCAGCGAAAATCACTACGACCGGAAAGCTCACGATTGTTCAAATTTTGCATTGCCAAAAAACACCTAAAAAAAGGGAACAGGTATGAGTTTACGAACACGAGCATGGAAGTGTTAGCACAATGGAAAGGCAGTTTGCACCAAACACTACCGGCTTGTAAATGATGCATGTACAGTCGGGAGCAAAAGTTTGCGGGGCACCGGAGCGCGTGCCGAAATGCATCGCCGCGCCGTGCAACGGCGAGCCGCCGCATTAAAAAGCCGCGCTTTGCGCATGCGCGCCCTTCGTGCTGGCAGTCATGTCTCTTTCGCTCGTTTCTGTCCGACTCACTCCTGATAACCGGAGTCGGCGCCAGGGGCGCAAGTTGCCGTTTCGCTGGCGTCCTCTTCAGCCGCCACAGCAGCCGCGCTGGATGACGGAGCGCCTGGTTAACCCCCTCCCCTTCCCTACGCGAGCTCCGGGACAAAGCGCGGCGGCTGAAGCAGACGCGCAGCATGACAGCCAGCGAAGCGCTAACTCGCGCTCCTGGCGCCGACTCCTGTTATCAGGAGTGCGTCGGAAGGAAACGAGCGAAAGAGACATGAATGCGAACACGAAAGGCGCGCATGCGCAAAGCGCGGCTTTTTATTGCGGCGGCGCGCCGTCGCAGGGCGCGGCGATGCATTTCGGCACGCGCTCCCGTGCCCCGCAAACTTTTGCTCCCGACTGTACAGGTCCCGTCAAAGTAAAACGGAGCGCCGGTGAGGCGACCGAACTGCATCGCCGCGCTATCTAGCAGCGCCGGCTGCAACTGATAGATGCCGTCTGCGCATGCGCGCGTGAAGTTCGCGGTGTCCTCCGTCTTTCTTCTTTGATCCTCGCATTAACGGCGTCTCGAGCTGCCAAACGGTGTTCCGATAAACGCCACTAGGTGTTCGGCTCGGGCTCGCACGGGGAGATAACACTGAAGGCACCTGTGAGAGGGGCGAGTGTTGTCGACGAGCACCGCCCCTTGTGCTACCAGGCGTCGATTTCAGGAAGAGCGTTGCGCCGCTCGAACCACCGATAACGCGTGGGTGGGAAGAAGAAAACGGAGGCCCCAGCGAAAGGCACGTTCGCATGCGCAGATGCAGCCTATCAGTTCCAGCCGGCGCTGCTAGATAGCGCGGCGATGCAGTTCGGTCGCCGATCCGGCACTCCGTTTTACTTTGACGGGACCTGTAAGTGCTAATCACACTTGTCTATAACGCGCGAGCGTTCGGCTTTCTCCGGGGAGCGCTAGACTGCTGGCATTCGCTGAAACTAAGCTAGTCAGGTGACGCAACATGGAACGGCCCGCTCGAGGGGTGTCCTGCCCACTCTATCAGCTGGCGGCGAACGCGGAAGGATGCTCGCAAGCTTTTTACTAACATCATTGCTCGAACAATAAACAAACTGAAGCATGAAGGCATATCAACGATGTCATCAAAAAAAAAAAAATGATCAAGCACTTTAGTTTTATCGCTTATCAAGCGATAGAGTGGGCACGATACCCCACGAGCGGGACGTTCCATGTTGCGCCACCTGCCTAGCTTAGCTTCCGCGAATGCCAGCAGTCTAGCGCTCCCCGGAGAAAGCTGCACGCTCGCGCGTTATAGGCAAGTGTGATTGGCACTGTACTTGCCATTTCCCATACCTTTTAAAATATATATTCTCACAATAAAATAACGAGATTCTGGCGTCGAGCACTAACGTTCGGAAAAGTCGATCCAGGCTCGATATGTAAGCACACTTGCTGCGTCGACCTAGCGTGTTCGCCCCTGCAGCAATGAGGACTACCCGAGATATTTTATCCAGTACACAGAGTAGCATAATTGTTAACAAATTTACTCGGTAAGAAAAACAAAAATCTACGAAATCTTTTTGAAAACGCACGCAAGGCACACAACCAAATTAGCGAAACGAGGACGCTTAATAAATGTTGCGCAGATAATCCGGAGTTACCGCGAAAAAGAAGCAGAATTACCGCAAACCGAAGCTTTCACGACAAAGATCCCAGGTCCAAGACGCCCCCAAAATCTCGCGAACAACAGAGAAGCGACGAATAACACGTTAGGTTTACAAATGGTTCAAGACAACGTAATGAACAGGCAAATTCATGCCCGGGAAGATCTATGAACAAGGACAACATAAAACATAAAAGAAATGAGCAAGGTTCTCTGGAAACCAATAAAAAAAGGGGGGGTCAACGACTGGAACAAAGCGACAAGGCATGAAAAAACGCACCTGTCGAACCAAATCACGCTTCGTGGGCCCGGCCTGCTTGCCACCGCCCACCACCAAATCGGGCTGCAAATTGGTCAGCGCCGGCCTCTTGGTCAAAGCCTGGGTCTGCATCTTGCTGTCGGGGTTCTCGGACCTCTTGGAAGGGGCAGCCCCGAAGGGTCTGGAGTTTTCGTCGCCGGCGTCGACAACGGACGCAACGTGAGCTTGACGCCTCGCCATGTTTAAAAAAAAACGGTCGGCTCGCTTCTTGCGCTCACGGGCAGAAAGACAGACGGGTCAGTTTGAAAATCTTGCGCCTCTCGGTGTGGGTCCGACTCACGGCTGCATGGGGGCTCCTTTCGGTGGCCTTCGTGGCTGACCCGAGCTGGTGTGCGGTCTTCGTATTGATGTCCGAATGTGGATTGGTTTCCCACGCCCGAGCCAACCGCGCTGTCAGAACACAACTGAAAGGATTGCAGCGATGCTGCTCAGTCAAAAAAGCGCTAAATTCACCGGAACAGGTTGGTTCCGCACAAACGGACCAATGAAATGCGCCGGTTCGGGTCACGTGAGGCCACGTGTGAAGCCCATACGTCGCTTATTTTTATGTTTTTAATGGCGCAAGTTCGCGCGACCGCGCGCGACTTCGCGATCACAGCGCCACCAGCGCCACTTCGAACCTTTATTTCGAAACGCAAAATCTGGTCCAAAAATAATAGATATTTCGTGTGCGCTGTGCTGCAAGATTTGAAAATGAATCATTTTTTTTTCTAATTAATAATGGCTGTTTCTCTGCGGCGTCCCAATGAGCTTCAAGCAAGTCACAAATAACGATATAATGTCTAGTTTATTTTGAATAAAGTTATACGCACTCCGGAGTGCATTTCGGTCGAAGTGGCTATACCCACTCCGCTAAACTCGTATAAAACGAAGGGCCACAACGTGTTTTCAAAGTGATGGCGTAGTATAGGGGTTAAGGAGTCCGGTTTGTACGCAAGTGGACGCGGGGTTTGATCCACGCTGGGTCTACTTCTTTTTTTTTTTTTTTTTTCTCAAAACATTTTGTTTTGTCGAGGCATTGGCGATATTTACATTTCTTTTTTGCGATGATGTTGTCGACGAAACTTCGCAGAACTAAATGGTATGGGTCTCCCTTTTCGGAGGTGCGATCGGGGAAAGCGGGGCTTGGGTTGCCGGTTGGACTCCGCGAAGCGGCGTGTACCGGTTAAGTCTTGTAATTAGCAGCCGATACTGTCGCCGCGATGCGGCGTGAACGCAGGCGGGAGGCTGTGTTAACGAGCCCCCAGCGATACACGCGCCGTTCGAAAAGGGTGGCCCGAGCGGCATGAGCTCTTCCCGGAGTGCGTAAACCCATTTCGTCCAAAATGCACTCCGGAGTGCGTATAGCTTTACTCGTTTATTATTGCCGGAAAATACCTCGGAAGAATGGGAGTACGGAACCCGTAGAGTTCACAAAATGTGTAGCTATTTGTTTGACGCCCTTATCGAATATATTATTGGTCCCTAAATATGGGCACATGCTTTCATTGCCCGTCGTCCGCGACGCAAAATCACAGTAGGGAAATCTGCGCAGCGTTGGGTTCTCAACGTTGACAATTATTGGGTCAAACAACACTACACAACGAAGCACCAACACTCCACTTTCAGATTCACCATCGCCAAATCACTTTTTCATAAAGAACTTCCAGTACACGATGCCTCCCAAGATGATAATTTCCATGATGATGATCAAGATCAGAATGAGTTTGTTGGTGATCACGCGTCTGTACATGGTGCGCAGTATCTTGCGACTCGTCGTCAATTTCTGATCGGTCTCTTCGAGCCGCTCTTTGGTCCGGACTAGGGACGTGCGCTGCGTGCGCAGCTCCTCGGCCACGGCAACCCCGACTTGATCGGTCTCGGCAGCGACTTGAAACGTTCGCACGAGGGTATCGGTGGTCCTCCCCAAGGTTTCGTTCATCTAAAGCAGCCGACTGCGCTGAGGATCGTTCCCAAAGTCAGCGATGACGGTTGAAGGGCTCAGGAGTTTCTGCCTCGCGCCGCTGGTGTTGATGCTGGTCGCCAGTGTGACAACCGCCTTGTTGACGTCATCGAGTTCAGCCCGGTACTTGCGGGTCTTGGCGTTCATCTGGATACGGTACGGGTTGGGCCCCAAGTGGGCTTCGCCCTGGAGTTCTTGGAGGACGTCGTGTGCCTGGTCCAGTTTATGCTGTACTTCGTGTAGCTGGGTCTTTTTGCTTTCGCCGCTTTGAAGGCGATTGCAGGTTCCGTCCAACTTGCGCTTGATGTCGTCGAGGAGGGCCCGGAGGTCCTCTTCGAGGTCTTCGAACTTCTCGGACGACATGCCGTGATGCATCGCTGAGAAGTCCAGCGGAAAGCCGGTGGCGTTTATGGGCGTGACGAATGGCGAAAAACGGCTTAAGGACACAAGCGTGACACGAAACACACCCCACCGTAAAAGATCGCAGAAACCAGCGACAAGAGCCGTGATATGGACGCGCTGGAGAACACAAGTCCTTGCGTCTTATTTTAACAGTGACGTCATTTAGTATCGAATGTTACGGGTTGCGCTGGTTAATTTATTTCTAATTTAAAGGATATAAACCGACCGAAAGATTGCAATGATAAGCTGATGTGAACAATAATTTTCTGTTTTATACCGTTCATGCATTATTGCTACTTTTATCATTCTCAGCCATGCCGAGCGTTCTGGCATTTGTTTAATCTTGAATTAAGTAAAAGAACGCACTCAAACAAATCACGTGACAGAAACATTTATAGATGTACAAAACAATTTTAGTTCTAATTAGACGGATTCTCGCGCCATCTGCCAACACTATTATTATATTGAAACATGTTTTTTAGTGCCGTCACCTGTGAGAGAAGCAAGAAGCTATCATAGAGGAACAGGGGATAGCGAAAAAGAGACTGGCAGAGATCCTCACAACAGCTGAACGAACCCTAAGCGCTTTTGTTATGGCTCGTGCGGTGCCATGACTCGCTTAAAGTCGCATTAGGTCGTACCACGGTTACTTCTCGCGCACAGACGGAAACAGGAGAGCGACGAGTGCGTGCCCGAGACCCTGAAGCCGGATGGCGGCGTCGCCATATTCAAACATGGCAGATCTCGACGCGATCTACAAAGAGGACGACGAGGACCTGAGGGCCAACGAAGATCCGTTGGTGAGCCTCGTACCCGAACCGATGGTCATACGAGGCGCCGGAAACATGACAGTGGGATTACCCGGTCTATCTCCTCCGGACGAGGTAGCGCATACTCCATGTGGCTCAATGTCACGCGATGCAAGAGTTCTTCACCCCCCACCGTGCATGCATGCGCTCGCGCGAGCAGTTCTATGGCCCATTTTTAAACCATGCTTCGGTGCTTGCTTACAAAAGAAGGAAAAGACCCCCGCGGTATGACCGACAGCGTCTCTGAACGTCAGGTCGCTTTGAAAATAAATAGCGACACAAACAACGTTGGGTTTTTATCCCCTCCAAACGCCCAGAGGCAGGCGGCGAGAGCTGCCAGCGACGCGCTTTTTGTTTGTTTGTGCATTTTTCGTGGTAGTTACGCCAAACAAAGGGAACGATATCGCTCAGTGTGTTTGGTTGGAGTGCCGGAACTTTTTCCAGATGGTAACGGCTGCGTGTGTGAGGAAATGGAGGGGAGGTCTTTTTCCAGCATCGATTCAGCCTCACCCACGTGTTTCTTGTGGTGTCGCGCCGTCCCTCTTCACGTCTCGCACACGTCACGACCATTAAACAGCTCGTCGATCCGGAATTTTGTTTTCATTATCGATCGGCTGATCTACGAAGTCCGATCCTGAAAGGTAAACCCGGCTTTTTAGCTCTCATAAGTAAAGTACGCTTCGCAGAAGGCTGAAATTCCGTGAGATTTTGACGCTTGCGGTAAAGGTAAAAGGCGAAAGTTTGAGCGCATAATGTTGCCATACTACAGAAAAAAAATTCTATGGGTCGACGTTTACCTGAGCCAAATTTTCACCAAATTGAAATTTGAAACTGTCGGTGCTTGCAGCAATATGTCAGTGAAGAAACTTGTCAGCATGAAAGAAGACAGTACTGTCTTTCTAAATGGCCAGGGGGGCTATGTTCGACAAATGTTTCGTTTCTGCTAAAAAGAAACAGAAGTGACTGAACTGGCATCATGGCGTCTGATTGGTTAGAGGCTCAAATGACGAAAGAGGGAACTTTAGTCATTTGAGGATCTAACCAATCAGACGCCATGTTGTCAGGTCCTTCACTTCCGTTTCTTTTTAGGAGAAATGAAATATTTGTGGCACATAGCCCCCCAGTTTATTTCACTGAAATAAAGGCTACATGCACCCACAATCTCGAATTACTCCTCGATGAATATTAGGCTCAAGTAGACGTCGGCTCATTGAGAAGTCTTTTTTGTGTGTGTCTTTTGATCCAGGTAACTTCGTGCGCTCACACTTTCACATTTTATCACCACCGCTAGCATCGGATTCTCACTATGCTTCAGCTTTCTGCGATGCATAGTTTATTTGTAAATGCCGTCTTTGCTATTCTCGATTCGACCATGATTTCCCCCTTTACCGTTCACTTCTCCATACTGGCAAAAAATCTCCTGCCTGAGAGTATGTGTGCGATTTGTATTTGTATGACAGTGTTGTCCTCACCTAGCATATTGTGTCACCACATATAAACACAGTTGTTGCAGTCTGACAAGATGAGAATGATGGCTTCCTACTTTTGATACCGCTTCGGCGTCTTGTAAGCCTGCAATACGCAGCCCCAGCAGTGTGCATGCTGGAGCAGGGGCATTTGAAACAGACGCCCTGTCGTTCTTGTCCCCATAGTTCGGACTGTTGCCTTTGCGTGGCTCTTATGAGCCAATAAAGAATTTATTATTACTTCTCTTTTAGATGCTATGCATTCGTTCATTTCCACTAAGTTCCCTTTGTCGCCTGTTCTTGAGTGGTGTGACATGGAGGCACAATCCGGAATTGTCAGGGACATTGTCAAAAAACGAGCCCAGTCAGGGAAAATAAGCCGGAAACGCCATCGAGTGCCCTGAGCAAAGACTTGCGGACTTAGTGGAATAAAAATGGGCAATAAATTCTGCTTAGAGCAGAGCGCAGGCACAGCTCACCCGATGTAGTGTGCTATGCGATGCAAAGGGAACAGCCGACAAATCCAGTCCAAGCATTGGATTAGATTGAGGGCGTGACACTAGACTAGACCTAGCTAGGGCTACTAGAGTTACAAACAAAT